TTCATACCCGGATCGGTTTGTCATGGTCTTTACCGTTGATGTCCTATGTTCGAGACGCGATCGAGACGAATCAACCGAGTGGCAAGGAAAGGTGATTAGCCGCCATCAAGGAGATAGAACGTGTTCAATCAACTGAGGATGGTAGAGGCTTTTTTCGAAGATCGATTCGAGACCTAGCTACCACCAATGGAAGATAAAAGAAGGTCTGACGAACCAGCGGAGGCTTTGTGGTGAGATTCCGAAGCATGAAATTCTTAGCAACGTAAGGATTGAGCTCTTTTAGGGATGCCGACACGATTAGCTGCCGGTGAAAGAGCTGACGTGATGGCCGACACTGTGAGTCGGAAGAGTCGAGACGAGCTAACCATTCCATTGTTTGACAATGATTGCTAAGTTGGGGGTTATTCCTGGCTGAGGGGTCAATATTTGTTCGCTTTGGAAATTTTTCCCTATCTCTATCATTATATGTTTTCTTGAGATTGTATTGATCGAGAAAAGGTGGTGGACTTGGAACTCGGGTTATGACTTGTTATGATTTTAAACCCTCAAAACTATCGAAATTGTGTTATACCTAAATTGCTAGGGGTAATTGTTTTGTTGAACCTCAATTTTTTTTTTTTGTTTTGAGAGTTATATAAAAACCTATTCTTTCGAATTACCTTGGCTATTATGAACCCTGAATTAGAGAATTTTCTTTCTGTACCTCAAACCGAAAGCCGACCCTGGCTGGGTGTAGCCACGCGAAGATGTGGTCGAGCACGCACGCCCGTGCTGAGAGATGTGACGCCAACTGCAGGGACGACTGTTGATTCGCACGAGAGTTGTAGCCACCATCACCGAACGCAGGAACTCCCCAGAACAGTGTGTGCGGCCAAACCTCGACCTTGCAGCTAGTATCCAAACAGGTGCACACACATGTCCTAGCGCCATGCTTATACAGCGCCAGCGAGTGTGCCACCTCTCGGGTGACAGTGCGCTAAACCCCGAACCCTTGATCCCTTTTTTGGTTTGTACGACGGGTTTTTGATGTGAACCAATAGATTCTCCTTGAACCTTTCTCCTAAGCTTTGAACCGAGGCTTCCATGTTCCACTGAACCGATGTATGAATTCCCTAATCAATAATTCTCGATTAAGTGATGTGGAGTTAGACTGTTGTTATAGGGTACCGTGTCGACCGTTCTGATGGAGACACATGGATTATGACGAGATAGTGGGAAAGTTTTCAGCGTGACCAAGGCACGAGACTAAAGTTGGATACTACGAATCAACCCCATATGGTTAGACGGTCAGAATATTCTATCAAGACACGAGAAGGCGGTTAGGTATTGTGTATTGATAGATTAGTAGAACGTGAGTATTTTCTTTCCATGGGTAGCTACGCATGTATCGATGATGATCAAGTAATGATCCCGATAGTATCGTTCGAGGATTTGGTACGGATGAAGGTGTTATGTGGCTTGTTTTTTTTTTTTTTTTAAGAGAAGGCTACGGCCACGCTTATTCAGTCCTATTATGATTCTAGACCAGGTCGATGACTTAGCCTGACGGCTTATTCCATCACCAGAGCTTGCGAGGATGCATGACACTTTTTGTACCCCACGTTGGAGGGGGATGTGTGCGTGATCTCGGGGCACGTGGTGAACTTTGATGAGCTGCATGATGGGACAAACCCTACCTATATGGAGGTACCGGTGACCTGTTGGGACGAAGGGTCCATCAAGGAGAGGCCGAGAAGGGTACTCGTCAAAGTCCAGCGGGGTCGTCAGGGCGAGGGCTATACGACTCGGAAGAGTAAGAGCGAGATTCAAACAAAATATCCGAACTCCATTGGTTTGGTCTGTTTCTTATGTTATCGTACCCCCTTTTTGGGATGTCTAACTTTTGTAATTCCGAGGACGGAATTCTTTTGAGGAGGGTAGATTGTAATGCCCCGTTTGAATATTTGGATTTTTTTTTAATATTATTATATTGGCATTATTATTATTATGTGGATTAATTTCCTAAGTGAGAATATTGCTTGATTTATATATATTGCTTAAAAATTATATTATTATGTGGATAATATAATTATATAAGTCGTACGTTTTTATTTTATCGTTCGTCGTTCGAATATTCGGTTTAATTGCGTAAGTCGAATTGTTGTCCGATTTATTTTATTTCCGAACCTTCGCGAACCGAGCTCCGAACCAACTCGACCAGCCCCTTATTGAGTGGCCTTCGGCCCATTTCAAATGGATAGAACCGGTCCCTTTTTGCTCATAACCGAACCCGCCCGTTAAATTTTCAAATGTGTTGATCATTTTGATTCTTGAGTTTAAATTGTTGCTAAGTCTTTGAGCTTGACTCTTGACCAAGTCCATCAGCCTTAATGCCGTGTAATAAACCCCAATAATCCCTTGATATTTGCCTTAAGAATATCTCCTAAAAAGGTAAGTCTTTCTCTTCCCTAATCTTTTTTAAATTCACTATTTATTTCTTCCAAAGCCATCTCTCCCTTTCTTTAAATCCACGTTCAAACTCCAGAAGAAAACCCTTCCTCCCTTCCCATAAATCAGAGGAAATCTCCCCAAGTCCGATAAAAAATCACTGCACTCGACAACCAATCATCACCCGCGAGCACGCCAAACCCTCTCCGCGATCTATTCCACTTCCGAGCACCATCCATGACCCAAAGAGTTCCCGAGGACCCCTGGATGTTCCCCTAGCCGTGCGAGCCGCCTTCAACGCCGAGCACGCCTAGCGGACGAGTTCTTCGCCCGTGGGAGCCGAGCCCGCGTCCCGTAGCCACGTCCGTGTTGCCCTCTCCAATTTGGTGTTCGGTAGACGCTGAAACCTTGTGTTTTCATTGTGATATGTGTGTTTTAGATGTTGTTCATGATATTATATGCCTTGTGTGATCTTTTATTGTTTGGATCTTTTGAGTTTGTAAATCTCTTGAGTTTGGGTTGGAAACTCAGGGATTTCATGATCTCCTGGTGAAATCTTATGAATTCTGGAACATAGGAGTGTCCATGTGATGCTGGTTTTGACCTTGTGTCATTTGGAGGTTTAGATTATGAGATATGAATTTTTGAACTTGATGTTGCTGCAGTTGTTTGTAAAATCCGTGATAAAGCGAGTTGTTATTCAAAAATTTTGAAATTTTAATATGTTGTTCCTCTGATATGTGTTGTCAATGTGTATATAAATTTCGTAATTTTTGGAATCCATATGTTAGGGTAAATATCTATTTTAATTTTCTAGCCTAAAACTTGTTTAAATTATGATAAATTGGTTCCTTGCTGAAAATGACTGAAATTTTATGTACATGCTCTTTTGATATTGTATTATGTGATATAAAATTCCCATATTTTATTGAATCCAGTATGATGGGTTTTTGATGAAAACATAATTTCTGCTGAATCTTGCAATAATTGCTATAAATCGTGTGTTTAATGTTTGGAACTGAAAATTTTATATATTGTACCTCGCATGCTGAAGTTGTTCATGTCAACATTTCAGGACATAAATCATTTGTTAGGTCAGGTTTTAAATTCATGCTTGTTTTTGCTGAAATATTGTTTTAATTTTATAAAATAACATGTGTAAATGCTATGGCTGAAACTTGGTGGATTTAATATATTCAGTGAGGTCTATTGTATGTCCAATTTTCAAATCAAAATTATCCATTTGTCTGTCCAACTAGATAATGTGATTTACTTGTCAATTTTCTCAAAATATTAGTTGGATATGTTAACGGTTGAATTTTAGCATGATTTTTAATATATGATTTTTATAATTGGTGTGAATTTCAAGTTAAGTGGCTAAGTAGATTGTGAGATGGCTTTTTGTGTGTTTTTCCTTTTTGTTCTGAGTCAAGTCGAATGTTCCATAATTCCATGAGAATTTTCCACGAGCCACTTCGTCGACGAATTCGAGTAAGTTTATGTGACCGTTGGATTTCTTGTAATCAATAGGTTATCTTGATTTCGTGTAGGTGTTCCGAGTTGTTGACCTCAAACCTATCCTTTCGATCTTTGTTTGTGAATTATCGCTGCTTTCAGGTGGGTGCATCAGGTGGGAAGGTTTCCGGTTACTTCCTTGCCGATGTCTGATCGGAAGGTTGTTGTATGTACATAGGAGGTTTGCGATAGGGCCGTGTATGGAGTTCGACTTGGATTCTATGCATACATTATTTATGGTTTTGAATCTTTATACGGGATATACTGTGCGGTAATGGTGAGCATAATGGTTTTGCTCACCCCCATTCTTTTTCTCCTTGTCTCATCTTCTTTTCTTCAGGTTTAGTATGGCTGGCGGCGGCCGTGTGAAGATGAACGAGTGGTGGTCATTTTTTGTTGTATTCTCGTTGTCTTATGCTTTCGCCTACTTTATGATTATGTTAAACTGTTGCTCTTGCCTTTGATTATTTCCTACTTTGGTTTGGATATATTGATTATGCCAGGTTGAACCTTTGGAATAATGTTTAACTTTCTGGTTGGATTTGAAACCTAATGAATAAATTGGTTTAATTTTTATGACTATTAGTTTATGCATGTATAGATTTAATCTATTTGTTCGTATTCGTTTATTTGTTTTTGGTAGTTAAGTAGCGCCCGTTGAGAAATAAGTTTTAACTCGAAATTTTGCGAAAATTTTACTCTGATTTTCATAAATAAATTTGGTAAATTCTTGAAAATAAAACAGGGCGTTACAATATTACAAAGGCTAATAGGTATTAAATGGGAGAGTCTTTCTAGGTTATGCAATTTAGGGATGAGTGTTATAACAGTATGATTTAAGCTTTTCAGAAGCTGACCAGATTCAAGGAAGCTTTTAACACAAATTAGCAAATCATTTTTAATACCATGTAGATTGGAAAAAGGATGAGGTCATATTATCATAACCTTGTGCTTTGTTTGGATAAATTGAGAAGAAAGCTTCTTTAATCTCATCTAATTCAACAAGAGTCACCAAATCACTATTCAAGTTTATTTAGATTACAACTTCACGATCTTGGATGACTTCTACTCTTCTTCCTGAACTCTCAGAGGTGAAAATGGAATTATAGTAGTCTTAAATGCAGACTGAGATCTCTTCTTGACTCTGACAAAGTTAATGATCCTCTTTGATTAGATTTGTGATTGCATTCCTTTTCCTTCTCTAGATAGTTGCGGCATGAAAGAAC